CCCAGTACCGGCACTAAACCCGCCTCTGCCCCCAGTACCGGCACTAAACCCGCCTTTCCCCCAGTACCAGCCACTAAACCCGCCTCTGCCCCCAGTACCGGCACTAAACCCGCCTCTGCCCCAGTACCAGGTCCCTTCCCACACCATCGGTGTTTGCAGAAGCAGGTTGGTCTCCGTCTTATTTCCCAACAAGGTATAAACAGGCACTCAAATTCCATTTCGGTGCAAAATAAAATGATTAGGGGTAATTCTTTCCGACCAGGAATTTATCACCAATAAACCCCACCAAGCGAGCTGGGACCAAGTCCTGGGAAGGTCTAGGCCTGGGCGAGGGGAAGCTGGTGGCCAGCGTGCTGAGGTTTGGGCAAGCTCTGGCCCGGCTGGCGGCGGGACACGGCACCGCCGCCTAACCTGCGTTCATCAGGGCAGGTTTTTCAAGTCCGTGCCCTGTGCCAGCCAGCCCGGCTTCCGAAAGCAAAAAAAAATGGTGATATTTTATGTCTTAAAAAAGACCCGCAGCGGTACGAGGGGGTTGGGGCGCAGAGGGAGAGGGGACGGGGCACGCGGCCTTGACCTTCACGGTTAAACTGGTGTGACTGGAGCTGATCTCTGTTTTGCCAACGCTGAAAAGAGCAGCTCTCCGCTCTCTTTCCGCTCCTATCGTTATGCCCGAGGGTGACAATTTTGGAAAAGATATGTTTGTAAAAACGCAATCACCGAACGTGCGCGCTTCACGCGGCGAACGGCGAGCAGGTGTCGGTGAAAGATGAAAGCTATTTGCAAATCTTGTAAGTCGCTTCTCACAAAAGCTGACGCGAAGGGACTCTTCCACGCGTTATCGTTCATCTCTTGTTCTGCCTGATTTACATTTAATCTACATCAAAACGCTTTACAGAAACGGGGATATAGCTTCCAATTTTCGCCGCCGAGAGGAAAAGTAAAGATCAAGAGAAAGAGGCTTGTCCGTGAAATCTTTCCCTTTTTTAGACAGCCGCCGGTCTGTAAGTAATATTTATGGAAGTGTCCTTGGAGACGTCCGCAACGCATCAGCGACACGCGGGCAATGGGAAGTTTGCGTGCGGAGATGAGACGTGAAGTTTGTCAGAAGTTGGTCCGAAGTGTCGCGCTTCCCCTGCCGACGTTAAGCTGAATATAACTAATTTATTTTTTTTTTTATTTTTCCTCTGCTCACAAACCCTTCTTGCGAGTAAAAGGGACGAGATTTAGAAATCCCGGCCACCGTTATGTTAAAAAAGCGGCTGTAGTCAAGGGCTGGGAAATATCCCGATGAGGTGAGTTGGGGAAGTTCGGCTTTTCAATCCGTACAGTCGGGTGTTAAAGCAATATCACGTTAAGGTTAAGACAAGGCTTTGTTTTACCAACGTTGTCTCATGGTTATAAATAACATGCAAAAAAAAAAAATTCGAGACGAAAGGGAGAAACGAGGCTTTTGCTTGGCATCAGGAAGAGCGGATGCCTGAGTGTCTTTTCACTATCCCCATAAACTTGGCCTGGATGGGAGAAAAACCCAGTTTTAAGACTGGAGGCAACAATCTTAAACCCTCCCCTTTAGGCTGAGCACACAGAGTAACCCAAGGCATTTGGACCTGACTGTAATTCGCTTGCCGGCATGGTTTAGTGAGTGTAACAGTGACCCTCGGAACGTGTACAGCGTGTGCAAGCAAACGTACTCTGCCGTCCCTTCTGCCGTCAGGTAATAAAGAAGTTTCTTCTAATTTAAAGACAAAACCATCCTCAACCCTGAAACGATCAGCTATTTTTGTATCCTTGCTCGCTTCTCGAAAAGCCGTAAACACCGCACTAGCAGAAATTCGGTCCGTGCCAGCAGAATGTTTATTAACTCCGGGAGATGCTACCGGTTTGGCATGGATTTCTCACGGCAATTCAGAACAGCGGGCAACGCAAGGACTAAACGGCGAAGTTATGGGTTATTTTAAAATCCAAGACGCTTAATCAGCCCTAAAGAAAGCTGACGTTGAGGATGTACGGAGCTGATACTGATCTTAATGTTTGAATCGCAATTGTTTTCTCCTATCCGAGGTCCAGAAAATCGATGCTTTGAGGATGGAAAATAGGAAGGTAAAAAAAAAAAAATAAAAAAAAAATTGCGGCAGGCTTTGCATTTTTATTTAACCGTGTAGGCAGTTTGTGGTGTGACGTCACTTTGCAGCAGCTCGGGGAATGATCGCGCAGCTCGGTTTAACACCTGTGGGTTCTCTGGTAGACAGAGACTTGGCCGTGAGGGTTTCTAAATCTGTGCTCGTGGCTATTTTCATTCTGGTTTCTCTTCCTCAGAATTCAAGACCGCAATCAAAAAAAAAAAAAAAAAAGGCGTGTTATCGACAGCGCACCGACACGTCTCCCAGCGGGAAATTCTTTATCGTAAATGAGAAGCTGGATGGCAGAGCAAACTTTTGCTCATGAACAATCTCTCCATACAACAACCATGAAATGAAAATAACGCCAAAAAAAAATTATTTTAAAAAAGTGTATGCTTATAAAACTGACTGCTAAAAAAAAACCACCCAAGCTAGGCTGGATCAAAGTGTAGTTTGGATTATTTCATTTTTTACTTTACTTAATGTGTGTGACGGGGCTGTGTCTCGGGCCCTTGTCTCACAGGAACAGCCCCTGGACGTGGCAGAGTCAAGGACACGAATCATTCGCAGCCAAACCCGCCGACAGGGGAGAAAAATCTGTTAGGATCTCAGGGGAATAATTTGTACCCTTCTGTCTGGTTGGAAAATAATAACGAGTCGGATAAACGAGGCTTTGTCTTTTAATCCAAGCAGCGAAAATAATTCTAGGTTGGGCGTTAAGGAAAGCGGAGTGGGAAAAGGAAGGATGGGAATTCTCTTCCTTTGGGCTTTGTGGTTTGGAAGGGCAGAGCGATTTCCACCCGTGATTAAAAAATCTTTTCAAATTCTGGTCGCTAAAGTTCTGTGGCAAATCGACGCCTGAGCGGCTGCGTACCCGAGAATCGTTCTGGCACGTAACACAACCAGCCGCGTTTTGCTTTGTTTTCCAAGCGAGATCGAGAGACTTTTCGGTGAGATATCCAACCGCTTACCGGGTAAATATGTCAGTGTTTGGGGGGGAAAAAAAAAAAAAAAAAAAAATTCTGAGAGCGTTTTAATGAGTCTAAACGTCCTCTGAAACATCCAGGCTTGCTACATGCTGCTGCGACGCGCTCAGCGGGCAGAGGGAAGCCACGGAGACGTGAATTGTCAACTTGACTGGAGGTTGTGCCACGGGTAGGGAGTGGGGTCAGTGTCAGAAATGATTAAAAAAAACCCCCACCCTTCTCCCCCAAAATGGAGCGAAAGGAAATTGGTTATAAACCGGCGCCTCATGGCCTCCGCCCGCGTCGGGGAAAGGCTGCCTGGGGTGGAGGGGAGAGGTGCAGGGTAACGCCAAGGGGGGCTCCCTCGCTTGTCACAGCCGCTTCGAAACCCAACTCTCATCCCGCGTCAAGGGCCAAGAGCTGAAGCGTCGCGGCGGCCCGGGCGTGTTCTTTGTAATGGCTGCGAGGACAGCTGAAAAGAGTCATAGAGAGGGGTCCTCTTCCTCCGTAAAACCGCCCGAAGTCCGTTCAGTTCCGTGCTACGGCGACAACATCCCGCCGGCTCCGCAGCCGCTCGAAGGGACGAGGAGGGAAAACATTTGTCCGGCTGTAGGAGCCTGAGAAATCCTCACCAAAATATTTTGCCTTCGGAGGGATGATGTGGATGTGAATCACGCGGCCTCGGCAGGTAAATGGAAACGTTGAAGGGATTGTGCTTCTATTTTTAAATTTCGCCCAAACAGAGGAGGCGGGCAGTGGGCAGCGTTGGCTTTGCCAGCGCCCGGCGGAACAACCGCAGGAGATAATGGCTTACATCATCGCTTTGGAAACTTGTCCTAGAGCCGAATGGCTTAGAAAGATCATGAAGCGAAGAAAACACCCCAGCTTTTCATAGATGCGGAGGGGATTCACTTGCCTGACGGCTAGCAGAAATTAAAACATTACAAAATTAAAAAAAAAAAAAAAAAAG